GGCATGTATGGGAACATGAGTTGGCTTAAGTTGAAATTTTCAAAAATAAGAGCCACTTAATCAGTTTGTATTAAATAGAAGAGACACCTAATCATGAAATGATAATTCGAAATTATATGCAAGAAACCTTCTACCAGGTTTTCTTTTTAGGGTCTGCCATATGTAACAAGATTAATTGTTGAAGCTATCATTCCAGACAAAACCTCAAATCCTGGGAAAGAAGTCAGGAGGCAGCAATCCTTAAAAAGAGAAAACAAATAGAGCAGATAAAAGGTAGCAATTATAGATTTGAATCTGAGTCATTGAGCCAAACCTGCATCTTGTGACCACCATCTCTCTGAGTTCCTCCAAGTGTGTATCAACTTCATAAAGCTGTGACAAAGTTGGGTAATTTCAGACTCGAAAATTCATAGGCCAGATCAAGCTCAAAAGAGAGATAGAGGAAATCGTTATGAATTTTCAAAGCTTAAAGCAAGATTTGAGGGAATTACTGAACCATCACTAGTTTTGAGCCAAAGTTAAGCTTCAAGAGTAGGTTTCTTTTACCTCGTTGCACAGATCCCTCGCCAATTTGGCATGAGCGGCCTCCTGAGCAAGCTGCATATTCAATTGAACTTCTGCTTCCTCCTCTTCTCGTCTTTTTTCCTGAAAATAAATGGATAGAGTTAAGAGATGATCATGCAACATTTACAGATAAGAATTTGGAATATTGCAATACAAAGATCATGATATTACGAAATTAAAGGGAGGCATAACAAAGAACTAATGTCCAAAGTAATAGTTACCTCCTCAGTAACTTTTGGCAGAAGTTGCAACCATTTCTCATCAAATTTTTCCAATAATGTTTTCGCCATTCGATGAACATCACTCTTTTCATCATTGTACTTCATTGCATTCTTGAACACCAGTCTAACATCAGCAAAAATCTCTCTGACATGCTTATACCCGGCACCATCCCTGGCCTCCATTTGGTTCTTTATTGTACTGAAGTCCATGGGCCTATCAATAATCTGAAAGGCAGAAAATCAATTCAACTGCATTGTAAACCTTAAAAAGAAATGTAATTATTGCCATAAATGGATCCAGAAATTATAGAGACATGTACAAAAAGCAGGTAAGATAAGTTAGAACCATGTCCGAGACTTCCAAGAGAAATTCCCCCATCCCCAGCATTAAATTTAAAGCTTTGCCTAGCAAAGTAAGCACAACAACAACAACAACAACAACAATAAAAATATACCCAGTATGATCCCACAAGTAGGGAATGAAGAGGGTGGGGTATACGCAAACCTTACCCCCTATCTTTGTAAGGTAAAGAGGTTGTTTCCGATAGACCCATATTGTAGAAAGAATCAAAAAGGCTTTTAACTTATGTGGGTAAGAACATTAACTGAGAAATTCATATTGTAGAAAAGAATCAAAAAGGCTTTTAAGCTTAAAAAAAAACAGAACCAGAAAGTTTTACCTCATAATAGTCATGCAACCCAAGTCCTTCAACATCAACTGGCTGCATAAAAGGCCAAGCCCATTTGTGCTGAGTGATCTGGCACAATAAAGAACAGAAACATACTATTAGTATGAGGTATCAATCAAGACCTCAAAAGTTATCGATAGAATGGGAACTGCAGATATTAAGTATTGCCTGGCGCAAAATTGTGCCAAACTGGCGCATAAGCTCCTGCATCCTCTTAGCCGCAGCGGCCTCTCCACGTGATGCTTCTAGTTGTAGCTTCTTAAAGCCAGGAACATGTTTCTCCTTATCTTTGTACTTCCCTGAAGAAGTATTCTTTGAAGTGTTTGGTTGCTTTATGCTTGCGTTCAAGTAGAACTTCTCAACTTCATTCACTCTTTGTTCAAGCTGAAAGTTGCAGCAACTAGCAGTTAACACTTAACTCACAAAAAATATTATGGAAAGTGTTTTTATACAAGAAGCTAAAGTTATTGATGCACCATTGGATGATCTAAAGCTGCAGGGATTCTAAGCAAAACTTAAATAGTAGCAGTGGCAGAATTATTATCTGCTAATGATTTTCAGTAGACACGGTTGTCAAAAGAATGAACTAGAGAATTCATGAAAGCCAAAGTTTTGCAAATATTGGAGGTAATTAGAAGTTTGTAAAGGCATGTTTTTTACTAAGAACATTACAGAGGGATCATGGGCTATGACTTCTAGATAAGTACCATTTATGTGCACCAACAACAAGAACTGTTGTAAAAAGCAGCTTATTGTTCTCACTTACTATTTTTTTACTTTGTGTCCTTTCCATAAAATAAAGCTTTGAATTGATTCTATTGTGTTAGTAACTTATAGAACCCACATAACAAGCCTTGGAAGAGGTCTTGATGTCAAACCATATTCAATAAACTTATTTTTAAATGCCTAGTCATTTAAGACTCCCTTTGATAAAAATAAACACCTTCAAAGGCTCTTCAAGCTTACATAACTTTATACATCATAAATATGACACTCCATCAATACATAATAGAGTATGAATGACTCTGAAATTCTAGCAAATTCGTGAGCTGTAAGTTATCCCACATCGATTGTGGGATGTGGAATTGATCTCCTTATATGGTCTTAGGCAATCCTCACCTCATAAGCTATCTTTTGGGGTCGAGTTAGGGCCCGAGGTCCATTTTCTTTACATGGTTGATGAGCTGAGAATTTTACTCAGAGTCAATACATTCCCTGCTACCACGCCCAAAGAATATCTCAGCAGGAGGCATAATAGTGGACAGACAAGGAGAAATGAAAGTAAGCAACAATGTCTCAGGTACCACAAACAAATAAACAAAAGAGTAAAAGACACTGAATATCATGATTACTTATCCTACGTAGAAAACAGGAAGAAATAGAGAGATATGAGAATCGCAAAAGATAGAGGTTCTCACTTTTGTTCAAGAAATGATATGTACCTTATCGACTTTCATGACTAGCTCGTCAACACTGCATCTAAAACCATCCACTTCTGCAACATTACCTTGTGGTCCCACCTTTTCCAAATCCAAATTGGATGCATCTACACCTTCCATCTGATAAGAAAACAGAATTACAGTTTCTCGCAAACATCACAACTAACTTGCTAATTCCTTGAGCTAATAGGCAATAATAGCATTAAATTTTCAGAAACTTATCACATTTAGTACACAAGGTTGCAGATGCATGACAATTCAAAAGCAAGCAATTCACAATATTCCTGAAATCAATACTGTGTACATAATTTGCTACTTCGTCCCGATTTTAGGTCGTAGAGCACCAGAAGTGCATTCAATCAACCAACCAACAACGCTTTGATCCCCATAACCAGAAGTGCATTAGTTTTGAGTATTATAACGGAAACACACATGTTAAGCAACATATCCTTCAAAAGAAACACACACACACAAGCGCGCGCTAAGCAGCTGCATGTTACAAGTATATTGGTAACCGCGTACAGTCAAGAAACAGTATCCGGCGAACAGAGACACATTTAGCTGTACATATTTTGTAAAAGAACGAGAAAATATTGTGAATTTAGCTTCCGACGGACGACTTTTAGCATTTGAAGGACGATCATGAGTTGCAAATAAGTTAAATCCCCTAAACTATTCAGTTTAGTTCGCACTCGCACAAATTGGCGTACACCTGTGAATGATGCCGAATAGGAGAATTGTACCTTTTAAATACGGTAACCGTCGGTGTGGGCGGGCGGTGGAGTTGTTACGAGCTGAGAACGGCTGGAGGAGTGACGGCGCCGGCGAATGTAACGGTGGAATTAGAATGTCAATACTTCCTTGTTGCGGCGTTGCCGCACTGCAAGAGTTGTTAAAGTACATCTAACGACGACGCAAAACGGTACTTTCTTTTTTCTTCACTTTCCTTCTTTTCTCTTTCTTTGTCATCTTCAAGTTTGAAACCCCAAACCTTTTTAAAAGGTAATTTTGGCCCCCTAGCAAATTGTACTTGTAGCAATTAGCAGATTTCTATTTGGAAAGTTATTTACATATGGTCTTCCACATCAAAAATCTTGCCTACAACTGCACCTAATATGCACATCAAATGAGTAAGTGCGTGATTGTTTATTCTCTTAGGCATTGTTATCTGATCGAGGAAAAGAAAGGTAAACAAGCGCGATTATTTTCTTCATTCTTTTTTTTTTAATATCAAAATCCACGAGTCTAATATAGTTAATCTGTCTCCTCATCACATCATTTACATCAAGTCTCTGCTCTTTAACTGAAATTTACGAAGTTAATTTTCATAGGAATAACTTTCTTTTTTACTCAGAGATTGATGGAGTAATTGAGACTCAATAAGTTCAATACTAGATGCTCCATTAGGATCCAGTTTTTTAACTCCTTTAAACCTCTCAAGTCCCCCGATCCTTATGGCCTGCATTCATTCTTCTTCCAAAAATACTATCAATTGAGGGTAACAATGTCACCAATTTCTGCAACTCTGTTGTTGAGTCCTACAAGATGGATCCTAAAATGAACATTACTTTCCTGTATCTTATTCCCAAATGTGACAGTACTTTTATCCTCAAGAATTACAGACTCATTAGACTCAGTAACACCATGTACAAGGTTGTCATTAAAATTATTGTAAATAAAATCAAACTTTTTCTTCCTTCCATCACTGAACAAAGCCAAGCCAGCTTCTTTTTTAGCAGAAGAGTTGCCGATAATATCATCATTCTACCAGAGTATATCACTTATTTCAAGAAAATAAAGAAAAAGAATACTAACATGATTTTTAAAAATTAATCTTGAGAAGGCTTTTCATAAGTTAGAGTGATTATTCGTTAGGAAAACTCTTCACAACTTAAACGTCTCTAAGAATTCTAGCAGTTTTATTCTGTTATATATTTCCTCCAATTCCATTTTATTATTGTGAATAGAGGCAGGACTGATGTAACGACTCGGCCAGTCTTTTTGTGTATTTGAGTCGTGTTCTCCTATTTGATGCTCCCCGTATATGTATTTATTATTAGGTGACTTGCAGGGATGTTTGATTTGGTTTCAGGTAGGTTTTGGAATGAATTGGAACACTTAGTTCCATGGTTGGAAGCTTAAGTTATAAGAGTTGACCAAAGTTTGACTTTTGTATAAACGATCTCGGATTGGTGATTTTATTATTCCAATAAGTTCATGTAGTAATTTTGGACTTAGGTGTATGTCTGGATTTGGATTAGGAGGTTCCTAGATTGATTTGGCTCAAATTGGCGAAAGTTGAAAATTTGAAGGTATGGAAGGTTCATAGGTTTGACTGGGAGTTGATTTTAAGGTTATCGAGGTAAGATTGTTGTTCAGGGACTGGAAATAGGTTCGTTATATCATTTCAGACTTGTGTGTAAAATTTTGGGTTATTTCGAGTTGGTAAAACGTGGTTCGGCATGAGTTTTGAAAGTTGAAAGTTGATTAGTTCATTAAGCTTGAATTGAGGTACAATTTGTAGTTTTAATGTTGCCATGTGTGATTTGAGACCTCGAGTAGGTCTAATTATATTTTGAGACTGGTTGGTATAATTGGACGGGGTCCCTAGGGCTTCGGATGTGTTTCGAATGAATTCCAGATTATTTTGGAGCTAGTTGGCAGGTCTGGTGTTGGTGCATCGAATATGTGGACAAAAGGTTTGCAAATACGATGGAGCAGTGTGCATTTGAGAATGACGGCCTGGGGCTGGAAGTGCACAAATGTGCAGGGTCGGTGGCACCTGCGGAGTGAGCTTATGCGGGATTTGATCACACCTGTGAAGCCGTAGATATGAGTTGGGTGCACAGGTGTGAAAGTCGGGGTTCTTAGTGGGACTCGCAGAAGAGAGCTTTTTGTCGCAAAAGCGAGCTGGTACATGCAAATTGGAGTTTGCATAAACGAGAATCGCTAGGCAATGTGTTAATTTTGACTGTTTGGCTTATTTTATCATATTTTGAGATTAGAAGCTTGGATTGGGGTAATTTTTTAGGCGATTTTCACCCATTTGGATTGGATAAGCATTTTTGACTTGGATTTGATTATTATTCATGATTCTATCATTGATTTTGATTTTTTGTTGATAAAATCTAAGGGAGAAAATTGGGGGTTTTGTGAGAAGTTTTGGAGAATGAATATTTGATATTTGAACCGTGATTCGGAGTTGGATTTGGAGTGAAACTTGTATATTTGGACTCGTACTCAAATGGGTAATCGGGATTTCTAACTTTTGTTAGGTTCCGAAAAGTAGGTCCGGATTGACTTTTTGGTTGACGTTTTTTGATAAAGATTTGAGTTGTATTGCTTGAAATTGATAAAGATGAGTGAGCAGAGATATGAACTATGATAGATGTGCGCTCAAATAAAATTAGATACAATAAAAAAAGATCACCTTCGCCAAAATCTACAAGTAGCATGCGTTGAGGATAAAATGAGAGAAGGTCGCCTGAGATGATTTAGTCATGTGTTGCGTTGCCCTACAGATGTACCGGTCCATAGGTGGGAAATTATGATGAATGGCGGTGTTTAAAGGAGACGAGGTAGACCTAAAATTACATGAAAAGAAGTTATCTGGAAAAATCGATAATTCTTTTTTGAAATCAATGTATATTTAGCTAAAGATAGGACACAATGGAAGAAAAAGATCCATATAGGTGATACTTACTAGTTAGGAATAAGCTTTAAATATTACTATTTTTTCTTTTATATATATATATATATATATATATTCACTACTGTTCTTGTTTTATTTTGGCATAATGATATAAGTTTAAAGAAAAAAGTGAGGATTCATATTACTGACCAACTTTGTTTGGAATTGAGGCGTAGTTATTTTATTGTTGTATATTTGACAAAATTAAAAAATTAAATTCTTTTTGTTGGTGATCATTATAAGTCGAAGTCGCTCTATTGAAAGTGAGTAATCAAATTTTTCATTATTTTATTTTTATGGGCTTAGAGCCCATTTGGATTGACTAAAAGAAGTGTTTTTTTTAGCAAAAATAGCTTTTAAACCGGAAAAAAAAAATAATAAGTTGGGGTTGCCCAACTTAGAGACCGTTTGGATTGACTTAAAAAAATTGACTTTTAAGCAATATAGTTAAAAGCACTTTTTAAGTGTTAGAACTTATTTTACAAATAAGCAGTTACGTGTTTGGATAAAAATATTTAAGCTGAAAAAAGAGTTGTTGAAGTGTTTGGTAAATAAGTGCTCGTAAGCACTTTTTCTGTTAAAATGACTGAAATATCCTTAAAGCTGTAAAGTATGTTATTTTTGGAGAATTTCCTTTAAAAAATTTAGAAAAATTTATTTATGTTTAGATAATTTTTCATTTGAAGTTAGTATCTTTAGGGCTATATATTTGTTTCAACTTTTTCGAATATTTTTGTATTTTAGTCTGTGTACTAGGCAAACAGTTATGATATTGTTTGTTTGACAATATAAAAGAAACGCAACCATTCAAAATACAAAGATTTTCAAGAAAATAATTATTAGTAAATATACTATAAAACAAGGAGGAGTAAAATAAAAATGTGGTTCTGATTATTTACGTGACAAGGAATCATGAAAATAAAATCAGGGCATAAAAATTAAAGAATTTGGAAAAGCAATAGATATGAAAATAGGATATGACATGGAAATGGCATTAGAAATGGTTGACAAAAATGGAAACGGTGGAGGGAGAAAGAAGGAAAAGAACGTTTGGCTTTTGGCTTTGAAGGAATATTTGGGAAAATAAAAGACTAATAAGGATTAAAGAGTAAATTATATTGTCAAACCCAACTAGCTCTTAAGCTACAAAAAAAGTTGGGATTCCCTAACTTGTTGCTTTTTAGCTTGTTTGGGTTTAAACGCTGTTTTTAAAGTTACCAAACACTCCAACCAGTTAAATAGTGTTTTAAGCTGATTTGACTAACTTTTAAGCCAATCCAAACACCCTCTTATTGCTTTTAGCTTGTTTTAAGCAGTTTTTAACTTAATTTAAGCGCTCTTTAACTGATTTGACCGGCTTAAAAGCCAATTCAAACAACCTCTTAATCATTGTTTTTACTTACTCCTTTTTAGTTTTTTTTAAATGTACTTATAAATACCCAAGGCAAATTAGAAAGTCATGACAACTTTAGAATCATTATAAATCAGAAGTAAATAATAGTGCATCTTAACTTGTTAAAATCACATAAGCAAGAAAAACAAAGACCGGGGAAAAAAAAGGAAAGAGAGAGAAGAAAAAAGATCACAAACTCCGAAAGTGTATGGTAGCGTAAAAAATATAGTTAAAAAAGAGGAACTTACATAAACCACTACTTCTTAAGAGCTTTTAACAATTCGTAGATATATTTTATGTATTTACATTTCGTAGCTAATTTTAGATAATTTGTTGTATTTGAGTGTATTTGAATATACTGTTCAGCTGTATTTTTTTCGTGTGTATTTGAGTGTATTTGAATACAGTGTTAAGTTGTATTCCCCATTATTTGATGTCGCAAGGTTGAACATATTCGACTGTATTTGAATGTTACACTAAAAAGTGATGAAATAAAGAATACAATCAAATTCGATCAAATCTCCGGCGAAAATGCAAAATATACTGTATTTAAAAGGGAAGAGTATAATCAAACCCGATCGGATCTCCAACGAAATACAAAATACCACTGTATTTACACACAAAAAATGAAGCATACATTCAAATCATTTTTAAATACACTGTATTTACACTAAAAAGATAAAGAATACAATCAAATCTCGTCGGATTTTAGGCGAAAATACAAAACACAATTTAGATCTCTGACGAAATACAAAATACACTTTAGATCTCCAACGAGATACAAAACACACTGTATTTATACAATAATTTTCTGACATGAAAGGTAATGGAGAAGAAAGAGACGGCTCCTTTTTCCGGCGTGAAAAGCAGTAGTAGAGGAATAAGTTTTTGGCCAGACGAATGTATTCAGATGTGAGATATAAAGAAGGAGAAGAAGCCATGGATTCCAACATCTCCATCAAATCCAGATCAGGTGACGCCTCCGATCTTCCT